TGATGTTTTGCTGCCGAGCCTGGGGCTTTGTATGGATGCGTGCTCATTTATGTGCATTCGTTGTGTGAGCTAAGATATTGGTTGTGACGTCGGGCCGACGGAGAATGGTCATTTCGTGAATGAGTTGAAAAAGCCCTCAACATAATCATTCCCCAGCCTGTGCTGGCCCATACGTTGGTGTGTTGGCTAATTCTCCTATTCACAACTCTGTCTGTCACGCCATACACACGCGCACCCAGATACTTGGGCTCATCCTTGCATACAAGCAGAAAAACCAAAATCACAAAGCCAAAATCCAATAACAGCGCAACTATACAGGAATAATATTGTCTTTTTAACATCTGCCTCCAATCCGGATCAAACTTGCTCCCTTAGGCTGAGACACACGCACAATCATACACTCGCACACACTCATCTGGGCATCAATGCCCATATGACCACGTCAGTCATTTTCTCGCCATCACGCCCTTCCACCCCCGTTGCCCACCCTCACTACCCCACGTATTGTGGCTTCTTCATCCAGTCTCCCATCACCATTACATCTGCTTTGGCTCGCAGGCCCGGCTATCATCAATGTCTTGGCTGTAGGCCATGGTCGTTCATTAGGCCCATAACGGAATAACCAGGCCTTACACACTATCTCAATGATTTATGCGCCTCTCGGTGTCTGACATATGCCAAGTGGGCAGCAGCTTGTCAGCTGTTTTTGGCCGTTGGTCGGCTTCATCTCCAGTCGCCGGATCTGGGCATGCGTGCCAACCCGACGGATAGAGAGGAGGACCACTCGCGTCGTCTCAGTGAGTGTTTGCAACCCCTGCCAGTTTTTGTACGCTTGCGTGTCGCCAGCCGGAACAGAAGCTTATTGTGTAAAAAAGCTCTCCACCGTCATCACCCTCGGCCACACTACCACACCAGCACAGCACCTTAGCACCACCGACACCGACATCGCCATGCCATGCCCATAACTATCACCACGACACAAGCCATATCCATTACCGTGACCCCCACCGCAGTTATCACCACCACTACCCCTTTGCAACGTTCACCTCCGGGGCTTGCGTGGTTATCATCATCGTCCTTCCAACGAGTCGTACTGGCGTTCGTATACTCATGTCTTGTTGTGTTTGCGTTCCGTCCGGCCGCTCCGTAGCACTGATCCTCTGCTCATCTCACATATATATCCACAGTCGGTAGACGGCGTTGCGGTGTTTTCGAAAAAAGCGCGACCACGCGAATTCACGATAGGTTTTATGGTCCAGCACAGAGCCGAGGTGCTCTTTTGTCAATTTAATGGTTTCGTACGCTTTTTTTCTTTTGTCCCCTCTTTCTTTCCTGTTTCTCTCATTTTATCTCTGGCCCTCGAGCCCTCTGTTTCTCGGTCATGTGTGCGTTCACTTGGTGGCATGCTTGCGCATTGACGCGCTCTCGGCCGGCCACTCGCGTTGCATACTCACACTCAGGCACATGCAGTCATCTCTCGTCCCTGTCTCCGAGGGTTTCGCGGTTTTGTGCCCCCACGAATGTGTTTGGCACCCATTTTTCCAAGCTCGTTTCGTAAACTTGCCAGAGCTGCTTTGTCATTTATTTGATGTGCTGGTAGACTTGGGTAGAAACCTATCCGTGGCTTTAGAAGCTGCTTTCTCTGTTCGGACATAACTCCGACATATCTTTCGAGAATGCTGCGTTTGTATAACCCTTCCTTGTCCAGTAACGGTAGACCAAACAACCCTACCTCTTGCGTCATAGGCCTTCTCGAACGGCTTCACTTCAAGAGTCGTTCTTGGACTGATATGTTTTGTGCAAGTCATACAGGCCTCCTTCGTCTCTCCCACCTAAGCCAGTAACTATTTGTGTATGACTATAATTCCCACTTTTACTGTGTTAATGTAAGCCGTAAACAATCAGAATAATCTTGCACCTTTTGTGAAACGGCTTCTCATTTCAAAGAAAAAGTTGGTCTCATCGGAAACCAAAGAGGAGACCATTTTATTAATTTCTTTCAATCAACTTATTCTTCGAAATGAAAAGTCATGTGGCAATAAATCACTAAGGAAGTCTTCGAAACC